ATATATACACACATGCTTTCTATAACACATCTTGCGTATCGAGTGCACATAGATAGAATCAAAGTGCAAATGTGCTCATTATTCCAAATGTACGTATAAGTTTTAAAAATCATATATGAGTCTGTACGAATCTGTTTTTAAATTTATTCTTACATTATATAAAAAACATGTGTATCGAATACATTAAAAAAAATTATATCGTTTCAAATAAATTTCTGGGTTTATATGGACTTTGTAGCACGTGAATGCTATTACGAGGGAGATAAAAGTATCAATGTATATATTAATATTATAGATAACGCACTTAGGAAATATAAATCCAAATATGTGGTTATATATTATATGAAGAATGCGAGATGTTTTTTTTAGTTTTCACTGTCATAAAATACACTTCATCGATTATGAAAATTAAAAATTAAAATATTCCCATTGACGATTTTCGATGAGATACTCCTTATAATCTGCAATGCTCTTTTAAAAATATATTTCTTCTTTCTACACAACTCTTATTCAATTCTATATAAGTTTCCTTTATCATATAATAAAAGATATGTTATACTTGTTAAAAAAATAAATTCCGTTTGGTAAAAAATTAACAGTTGTATTTATTACACATTATATGAATAAACTTATCGATCCGAGAAAAATGAGTAATTATTTAATTGCCATATGAAACATTTTGTGAGTATATACTCGATACACAGAAGGATCATTATTCAAGCAATTAACAAATAAATAATTATGAAATAGACAGTATTATATGGAATATTATATAATTTGTATTTTCGATTGTAGAATCAAATCAACCCATATCCTCTTAATTGTAGTTACATGTAATTGATTGAATTATAGGATAAACAGCTTTGCGAATTGGTATTTGAATTTGGAACATTTAAAATTCCCGCTGAGAGAGACATGAAAAAAAAACCCTAGTACCAATCACGCTACTGCGGAACAGCTGATTGCTGAAAGTAGCGAAAAGGAAAATCTGCATCAATAGGGAGGTTACTGAAAAGTATGTGAGAGAAAGGGTCACAAACAATAATCGCGTCACTGTCTGGAGATACTTGACTTAACATTTTGGACATTAACAAGGAAATACGAACGACGAGTACTATATCTTCAAATGTGACAGATGTTTGTTGTAAGAGATGTCACAAATTGATATTCAGGATTTATTTAACAAAAGCAGGTAAGACAATCTGTTATGATAATATTGCAAAGAATCTGCTGGTCATAGCTATTGTTATCCAAATGCATTACTTTTGTTGTAAACATTGATTGGAAATCACAAGAGTGTGAGAGATTTTCTTGCAAGTGAAAAATAGTTGTTCTTTGTCATATGGAGTATCCACTGTAAAAGATATCCAGACAGAATAAAAACTGATTATTTTTTACTATAATTATCATTTAAACTTAAAGTATTAAAGTTTGATCAATTACGTTATGAATTTAGGTTTCCCAGCGGTTGGCGCCTTCTACTTGTAATCTTATATACGCCAATAGGATTTGTACTTGTGTTGCTGCGACTGTTAGTGGTATTGCTGTCCTGGCTTCTAGCATCGTTATTACCAGATTGCAATTCTCTTCGAACAGTTTTAAGTTATGGCATTAGGATTGCTTTTGGTATCGTAGTTAAAATCGATACCGAGAGTGAACCCAGAGACAAGCAATCGAGGATAATAATCGCCAATAGTGTATCAGTTCTGGATCACTTTGCTCTACGTCGTATGACGGAGACAGTAATCCCTAGTGTTTGGGAGCTACCTACTGCCTTGAGTAACGCACTGGGAATCCAGAAAATGAATATGAGCAATAAGGAGACATTAATTGCCAACATAAAGCAATTTCTTTCCACTTCCACATATAGTGTGTCTGTGCAGCCTGAATTTGGCACAACTAACAATCAAGTCGCTCTGTTGAAATTCAATTCCTGGCCGTTCAGTATAGAAACATCTGTCCAACCAGTTGCCATCAAAGCGTCAAGATTAGAACTTGTACCTGTGCAGCTTACCTCATTGGCTTCAACAAGGTTGACAGAAGCATTTTGGTTTATGTTTGTGCCCTATACAATTTTCACACTCAAGTACCTGAAAATCAGACGAAACTCTGATCATGAGATACTTGTGCGAGATGTGGAAAAAGATATCGCGGATGCTCTGAGACTTCAGACATGTTCTCATACTGTATCAGACAAAATTGAGTATGAAAAGCGCGCACGCACGAGGATACTCAGTAACGCGCGTTCCGTCAGAAACACGCCAAATTCACAAGTTATACATAGTATAGAAATACAAAGGATGGTTCATCAAGTTAGTGAAGTACTTCCATTGGTTCCACAGAATGTGATTCTACGAGATCTCAGTATGTATATAATTATCTGAGAAAGAAATAATTCTTAATTTAAATTTATTAATTCTTATTATTCTAATTCTTGTTTAAATCTTATTATTTTATTTAATCTTACAGTAATGATTATATACCGATTTTTTGATAACAGGATTGTTATTAAATCTGCTTGTTTGATTTTTGTCGCAGTGAAAACTCGAAACGTTGATGTTACGATCGCCAATATTCTCGATGGCATAGTTACTTATACTCCAGAACCTAATCCATCAGCTCAATCATCCGTAACATCGTCCAGTGCATCTTCAAGTTCTGCGAAGGATAAAATATTGGGTACTACTTCCTTCCAAGAGAAGAAAGCTAAAATGATACAAGAAGCCAGGGAAAGGTATATTAAAAAACATGGACTGACAAATTGCTGACATTCTTATTATTTTATTCTGGTTATAACACTGTCATAATAACATCTATATAACATGTTTTATTGTTCATGTATTATATTTACTATTATTTCATGTGTGAATACATCTTTATTTCTAAAATATGATCACACGTAATTGTACAAAACCTATCCATTATAATCATAAGCAATACTTTATAGAAAAGTTTTTAAATAATGCAATCATCAGTTATGTATTATATTAATATCGCAGTTATCGATCATAATAATGGAATTACTCGCTTGAACATCAGGGAGATTTAAGACTTATATCGAATTTTCAATTATTTCATTATAGATAAACGAAACATTACAGAAGTATATATCTTTTTGGGTATATATCTATATGAGGTAAAAAAATTTGTTTTCAAAATAAAAAGATTTATTCTAGTTTCAATAAAAAATAATTTATACTGTAATATATACGTAATATAGAGATTATAAAATTTCTTGTAATTTTTAATAAATAAATATAAATAAAAATTACATGATTCTGTTAAATTAAACATTAAATAATAAGTAGTAATAAAATTTTCTTTTTAATGGAATTTTAAATAAATTTGGACATATCATTTTGATACTTAATTATAATCGACAATTAAGTTACAAAAAAGTATGGCAAACAAAAGTTTTATTAAAAAAGTAATATAAGCGGGAAAAAGCATGATACTAATCTATATATACTTAAAATCTAAATATTTATAATTACAATTATATAATTATAATAGCATAGTTATGATATAA